AAAAAAAAAAAAAAAACAAATAAATAAATAAGATCAAGACTATTAATTGCACAAAGCCAGTCAGCTACATTGTGCTCCAAGACAATCGTCCAGGCAACTACTTAACTTAACCATAAGATTTTAGCAGTGGTTTAGAACGTTAAATTAACCGAGTAAAAAGGCACTTAAAAATCTGCAAAAATACGAAATTTCAGAACATTGGAGCCTCAACTGTCGTTACAAACACAAACTCAGCAGCAAAAATCTGGTTCTATCGGTTTTACTATTGCCAAGGCTCAAGTACTCTGGGCTAATCTTATCACGATACGTTCCTGTCGCACAGAGTAGGTAAGAGAGGCGTCTTTGATCACCATCTATTATTTGGCGGTTTGACTTTGTATATCCGAACTATCCAATTAGATGTCGTGAATGCCTCTTCCAAGTATTCAAGCTTCACATCCTTATTTCCTATTTCAACCCCCCTTGCTCTATCATACCTGCCATGTGAAAAGCCAGCACAGTATATTATTAGCAATGTCTTATCTGGAGATACAAAATAACAGACATGGACCACTGCCATGTGAAAAACACATTCTGAAGTAGAAATCACAGTACAAAATTTCTCAATATAATTGCATGCACACAGACAATGCATGCCGCAAAAGAAGGTAATGAAAAACTCACCCTGGAGGTTTGCCATATTCTGTTGTCACCTCTCCAAATCGATAGTAAGATAGCTTGTACCTAACCACCAGAACAGACAAATAAAAATTTTCTTCCACAAAATTGTAGTATAAAATTACGTACATAACACAATCAGGTAAACCCATATCATGAAAGAAACTTCTCTTCTTCATCCGTCAAATCTATAGCATGCAAAATATTCTCATTAGCGAATTGCCCAGGAATTCTAAGAAATTAACCAAATTATTGTAGACAACTCACAAAAATGATGAGCCATATATCCCAAACATCAAACGAATGATGAAAACATTTGCCACCCCTTACCAACATTAATCACTCCACTAAAACTAATAATGCACCACAAAATGAATAATTGATCTAACATTGGCTAGGCATAATTATTTTGCTATCCCAGAAAAAGCAGCCGAGAAGAGAAAAAACTAGAGAGATGGCATACCTCAATACAAAAAAAAGGACTTCTATTTACATAAAGCATAACGGTCCAGATCATTTACATCCTACGGCTTATCTTACAACTTATAATTTTACTTTTTAACCACAGTTAATCTGTCTATTTACATTTAATCTTTTAATCTCCGTAAACATGTGAATCATACTTACTTTTTAACCACGGTAGATACTTTAACAGCCGTAAATATTTTAGTCATGGTAAAAAGGAGAGTGTTTTGCATGGAGTACCCTAGTCCTAACTCTATATAATAAAATACAAAAGATTTTGAATCCCCCCACCTTATAAATTTGTTTGACCGTACCAAATTAATTGGTAAAAATTCACAATTAATCCGAGAGACAAAATTGACCCTCCAAAATGTAATTTTCCGCGCAAAGAGTTTTGACCCCTTAAATCACGCGATTTTGAATATCTCATATCTCCTACTATTTATTGTGTATCTCTCTCTCTCCACGACTATAAAACTAATTATTGTGTATCTCTCTCTCTTCACGACTATAAAACCTCAAGTTAAAAAATACTAAGGGAAAAAGTGAATTTGCAGACGTATCAAATTAAANAAATTGACCCTCCAAAATGTAATTTTCCGCGCAAAGAGTTTTGACCCCTTAAATCAAGTGATTTTGAATATCTCATATCTCCTACTATTTATTGTGTATCTCTCTGTCTCCACGACTATAAAACTAATTATTGTGTATCTCTCTCTCTTCACGACTATAAAACCTCAAGTTAAAAAATACCAAGGGAAAAAGTGAATTTGCAGACGTATCAAATTAAAAAAAGAGGTAGCTCATCAGTGTGTGTTCAGTTTGCATAAGTTTTAAATTACTCCAGTGCGCACTTCTAAAAACTCAGAATATTAAAGCCAAGGGCACGAGCACACGTGCACATACACACACAGAGAAAGCATTCCCCACTACTCCAGCGTTTAATCACTAAATATGAAACAATTAAGATAGACCGACTCAATAAATATGTGAAGACATTAATAAAGCCACTGCAAAGTGTGTAGTTTGAAGAAAACATACACCAGGACTCTAGTCAAGTCAAAGTTGGCTTAGATAAAAGTCATAATCACACCCACATAATACCAAGAGAGAGCAAGAGAGAGATTCCCATCAAAACCCCGAACAAAAGCACCTACTAACAACTAAACTCACTCCTGTTTATGAAATTCAACAATTCAAGAACCTATAAATGAAAAATGCCACATACACAAGACATTCAATTTGAGGAAAGCTCATAGTCAAGAAATTACACCACAGGAGTAAACCACCCTTAAAATAGAAGTATACACATAGGTTGAGGCTGTATTCTGAAAGTGTCCCTGGTAGCTATTAATGATTATTGCTTGAGCTTACTGATATATGCAAACCATAATGGTGGTGGTGGCAATACATACAAATATGATCCTACATATATTTGTAATCGTTTCAGTAGTGCTAAAGCAACTTACATAAGACAGTTCAACATCTTAGGTGCTGCACCTTTGTCAACACGGTACTCGCCATTGACAAGGTAATCTGGTTCCTTGATGACAGGGAAAACCCCACCTCCAATTCTCACCATCCACAAAAATCTAGGATTAAAATGAACAGTTAGTGGAAGCACAGGGACGAAAAGTGAAGAAAAAGGGCAAAAAAGTAGAAGTAAAAGAAGTGGTCCTCGCAAGTACCTCAAAACTGTTAATTTGGATGGTAGAATGAATATAGCCAAAAATATATTTGAAGTGTTATACAATTTACTACAAAAGAAAGTAGTTTGTATGCACATGCTAATACCACTTTCCAAGCCATGTCACCAAATAATGATGTGTATATATGCTTACTTTAACAGATCTAAGCAGCTTTTGGATTTCAAATTATGTGCAATTATATTATAATTGTTTAAATGTCGAACCATTGGGCCTCCAGAACTATATTTCTTGTATTTGATACTTTGACAAGATCACGTAACAGGAAGACAATGCTGATTCCAAAAACAAGGGAGAAGGGGAAGATATTGCATGGGATATTGCAAGTGGTTTGAAAGTGTTATTGAAATAATAACCATGTGCATATACAATTCAAATAATAACCCTTTTGTCAAAGAAAGAAAGAACAGTTTCATATTTCAGTTATTATAAGAGATGGCCTGTTCCAGATATAGCAAGAGCTGTCAAAAGAATGAAAATTAATATCTTCCAAGAAAGTGAGCCAATCCCAATCAGAAAAGGAACAATAAGTGTGCCCGTGAAACAACTAAACACTTACTTGTTAATGTCATCAGAAGAATAGCCAGTGACACCTCCAAAAACAACTAACACATAATCCACGTCCAGTGACCTCATTATCTCATATGCTTCGTCCTCATAAGATGACATAGCACGTCCCACAGTAGCAATATGTGTGTTGTTCCAGGTGTTGTTATCTACAATCACAGTTCTGTTTCCCATGGCAGTAATCTGGTAACCATAGTCCCACCATGACATAACTTTAGCATCTGAAGGAGTATTCTGCCGAAGCCAAAAGTATGCCTCACGGTAATCATCAAATATGACCCTGTTGCCATGGGCACCCCTTGCGGCCAAGACAATTGAGGGAGACGAGTATGCCTCCGATGTAACCCATGTACAGTGGGTGGCATATCTACTGAGCAAGTAAAAAGCACCAACAAGTAACACAATAGCACCATTTCTCTGGAAAGGTAATGACTGGTCGATTGAAGCCTGTTTGTGCAACAAATAGGTGTAAACATTCTTTGTTTTCCAGCTAAGAACCACTGTTAGAGTAATAAGATGACAACTTTGGTAGACCAGAGTCACATAAGTTACAAGTGATATCCACATAGAGATTAAATAGCAGATTACCTACTTAAAGAGCTCAAGTTCTACAACATTGCATAGTGTATGGTCTGGACATGTGGAAGATGTTCATCTATTCAGTTTTAAGACTTTGACTATANGTTACAAGTGATATCCACATAGAGATTAAATAGCAGATTACCTACTTAAAGAGCTCTAGTTCTACAACATTGCATAGTGTATGGTCTGGACATGTGGAAGATGTTCATCTATTCAGTTTTAAGACTTTGACTATATGGAGGCAAAAGAGACTCATTGATGCTTGCAGTGCACCATCGAATGGAATCAAATTGCCCAGATGGAGACCCACCAAGACTGATATAAACTGTTAGACTGCCCCTCAATTTTTGGGAAACAAATAAGAAGACAATCAACCAAAATTATTGCACGTATTGCTGTATGATAAGCATGCCCCCAATTCTCGCTCAATCTGCCAATTAAGGATAGAAATTTGTTTCCAAATGATTGCTTTGTTCTACTAGGAAACACTCATCCTTTGAGTTGACTATGTATCTTCCACACCATAAGTAATAGTGATGGAGACCAATAAAAAACATTTTGATCATAGTAGTCAACTCATACATGGCAAATTTGCAACCACCTCTGAAGAGAGAGGACATATATCAGTACATGTCCACACCTCCTCAAAGATGTGAAGCATTTGTATCTCGTAACAGGAAAAAAACTCCCAAATTAGCACATTAAGTGAATATAGGTTTGTCCAGCAACAAATTTACTTTTTTCCCAACTTCACATATCACTAAAGAGAACAAAGTTCAAGAGCAAAACATGAAAAAAAAATTCCAGTTGACCACTTGCAAATGACTACAAGCCAAATGACATCATTTCGCNACAAATTTACTTTTTTCCCAACTTCACATATCACTAAAGAGAACAAAGTTCAAGAGAAAAACATGAAAAAAAAATTCCAGTTGACCACTTGCAAATGACTACAAGCCAAATGACATCATTTCGCAGATGCAAAATCTTACTAAACGTACAACAAAAGTATCCTACTCAAAACCACTGCATAACACGGATAAACGCATCCACCTTAGAAGAAGAAGCCTTTGCACGAATAAGAAATATGAAAAGGACCTCACCTTAGAAGAAGCCTTTGCAGAAGTCGTTCCTTTGCCAGAACCAGTATGAGTAAACTTGCTCTTTGCCCTGACCAACTGAGTTAAATTCTTTACACTGGCTGAGACTGCAATAGCACTAATAAGGCATACTGCAGGTGTAGCAACAAGAATTAAACGAACCATGACACCAGCGAAATACATGCTTGTGAGACCATACATCACTACAAATATTGTGGCATCAGACAACCGCTTGAAGCAGAAATACAGGCCGGCTGGGAAAAGGAAAAGCAGTATATGGAAATCAAACATGAAAGATGACCACGCCGTAGGCTGATGCTCAGAGACAGATGCTATTATGGGAATGTGATCTTTTGCATAAGTTGGATCCAGGAGAGAGTAAAATCGACCTGTCCATGGGGAGATATACCCAGATGCTGTGCCCAATCCAAAAGCAACAGCACCCAAACTTACTGCACATGTCACAGTGATTCTCAAAAAGGCTTGAAACAGCTTTGGATCGTTTAGCAAATGCTTGACCCAATCTAGGAAGTAAAATACCTGCACGGACGGATATGAGTTAGGGGTGTCACACCGTATCAATCCCACATGCTCTTAAATGTACAGATGTTTGAGGTGAATTGTAACATTGTGTGAGGTTCTTAAGCTACTTCAAACTAAACGAAGAAGGAAAATAGCAAAAAAAATAATAATAATTATCACTGTATTGCAGACAAAGATCCAAACAATGATAGTGTTTTTTAATCTGCTTCACTGAGTTGACTCCCATCCCAAAACTTCTCTCCCGAATAGAAATGTGATATTTGAAAGGGAAGACAAATGAGCACAAAATCCACACCTCGTACTAACTATAATAGCAAATACAATGACTTTTGTTTATCTGTACGTGAAAATAGCATAAAACGCAAGTAGACAACAGGTTCCACACAGTTCTAGAAGAACTAGAGAAGAAAATCTAACCTCATTTCTATGGATTGTAGCAAACTAAACTCAAATTTCTAACCTTTTTGTGCTTCACATTTTTTAGGACTCTTAAACAAACAGCTTTTTATTATTATGAATATCTTGGTAAAAAAGGACGGTGGTTGCTTCTGAGAGTGGTGTTAATATTACCTTTTTTTATCATGGGTTACATATGAAGTTTGGCTGTTTGAAAGAATCTTTTCAACATATCTTACTTGTACATTCTAATGTCTAGCATACTTGTCAAACACCAAGTTGGAGTCTCCATATTGTTGTAAGATGGATGAAGCAATAAGACAAGTAAGCCAACCAACACACACTAAAGCCTCTACTAACTGAATCTCATTGGTCTACTACAATTGAAGGATACATAACTATAAGTATAAAGTAGTAGATACTAGCTCTTTCTTTTTGAGCAACTAGATACTAGTTCTTTCTGAAAATTATAAATTGAATACTTTGAGTTGAATACACTTTTAGAACTATTCATAAGTCGTGCAAAGAGAACATATGGGAAACATAAACAAAGAAAGAAGCATTGAAATTTTGCAATCAGAGATTTTATGCAAAATCATTTTTAATAATAATATCAACTATTGAAAACAAAGGAAGATATAATAACAGTGCAAGTAACTTGCAACGACACTTCTCCACATAAAAAAGGGACTTAGAAGCAAAAGATTTGAAGCAGTCATCTGCAAACTGGACAGAGTCAAAATTTGATACCTGCATCAAGAAAAACACACCCATCGCAGCCATATGCTCTCCAGACTGAACATGCTGAAAACCCACAAATCGAATCTGCATTGCGAGCAACATCCCTAACACATACATGCAATTATATGCTACATACAACCTCATTGAATATCTCCCAGTAATCAACAGAACCATCACATACAGCGGGATCAAATTAATTATAAAAACATAGCCACCCCATGCAGAAACCATGTAGAAGTACCCAAAAGCTGAGGCCAAAGCCCAAGCGAGGGAACCCGTATTCACTGCCTTAACAAACAGATAGAATGTAAGCAGTAGAGCAAAAATTGCAACCCCCTCATTATCATACGACCCTGCCACAGACCTCGAGATGTAACCGGGACAAATGGCAATCAACACTGCAGCGACAAGCCCGGCGCCTGAATCCCAAAGCTCTTTCCCAAAGAAGTATGCAACTAGAGTGGTGTTGGACGCAAAGAATGGGGCAGTCAATACACAGACCTCACGAATGTGGACTGCAAACCTGATAAATTGGTAAGCAACCCATTCAATGGTCAGAATAAACAACATACGCATGCGACACTAAATGCAAACTAGCTAGAAGAAGTTTTGAATGTTTCTGTTAAGGATTTAGAACCACAAAATTCAATAAAGAGAGCCCTTTTCAGAAACATTCAAATACCCAAAAAAATAAAAATTGATATTTTATCTTGCCACGGAACCGTCCTCATGACGCTTATGACACTCCTCTTTAGTAGCATTTCTCTTTATTGATTTCAACAACAAAGATTCAAAGTTTCACACAATTTCGCTCAAATCACTTTCTCACATAATTACTTCTTATCTAAGAATCATTTGGATCCAAAACTTCAAATTTAAGCTACTCCTTCACCAAAAAATACTCCCATCTAAATGCAAATTGACAATTTTTTACTTATACTTCATTTGTTAATGTAANGCAGATGCAAAATCTTACTAAACGTACAACAAAAGTATCCTACTCAAAACCACTGCATAACACGGATAAACGCATCCACCTTAGAAGAAGAAGCCTTTGCACGAATAAGAAATATGAAAAGGACCTCACCTTAGAAGAAGCCTTTGCAGAAGTCGTTCCTTTGCCAGAACCAGTATGAGTAAACTTGCTCTTTGCCCTGACCAACTGAGTTAAATTCTTTACACTGGCTGAGACTGCAATAGCACTAATAAGGCATACTGCAGGTGTAGCAACAAGAATTAAACGAACCATGACACCAGCGAAATACATGCTTGTGAGACCATACATCACTACAAATATTGTGGCATCAGACAACCGCTTGAAGCAGAAATACAGGCCGGCTGGGAAAAGGAAAAGCAGTATATGGAAATCAAACATGAAAGATGACCACGCCGTAGGCTGATGCTCAGAGACAGATGCTATTATGGGAATGTGATCTTTTGCATAAGTTGGATCCAGGAGAGAGTAAAATCGACCTGTCCATGGGGAGATATACCCAGATGCTGTGCCCAATCCAAAAGCAACAGCACCCAAACTTACTGCACATGTCACAGTGATTCTCAAAAAGGCTTGAAACAGCTTTGGATCGTTTAGCAAATGCTTGACCCAATCTAGGAAGTAAAATACCTGCACGGACGGATATGAGTTAGGGGTGTCACACCGTATCAATCCCACATGCTCTTAAATGTATAGATGTTTGAGGTGAATTGTAACATTGTGTGAGGTTCTTAAGCTACTTCAAACTAAACGAAGAAGGAAAATAGCAAAAAAAATAATAATAATTATCACTGTATTGCAGACAAAGATCCAAACAATGATAGTGTTTTTTAATCTGCTTCACTGAGTTGACTCCCATCCCAAAACTTCTCTCCCGAATAGAAATGTGATATTTGAAAGGGAAGACAAATGAGCACAAAATCCACACCTCGTACTAACTATAATAGCAAATACAATGACTTTTGTTTATCTGTACGTGAAAATAGCATAAAACGCAAGTAGACAACAGGTTCCACACAGTTCTAGAAGAACTAGAGAAGAAAATCTAACCTCATTTCTATGGATTGTAGCAAACTAAACTCAAATTTCTAACCTTTTTGTGCTTCACATTTTTTCGGGCTCTTAAACAAACAGCTTTTTATTATTATGAATATCTTGGTAAAAAAGGACGGTGGTTGCTTCTGAGAGTGGTGTTAATATTACCTTTTTTTATCATGGGTTACATATGAAGTTTGGCTGTTTGAAAGAATCTTTTCAACATATCTTACTTGTACATTCTAATGTCTAGCATACTTGTCAAACACCAAGTTGGAGTCTCCATATTGTTGTAAGATGGATGAAGCAATAAGACAAGTAAGCCAACCAACACACACTAAAGCCTCTACTAACTGAATCTCATTGGTCTACTACAATTGAAGGATACATAACTATAAGTATAAAGTAGTAGATACTAGCTCTTTCTTTTTGAGCAACTAGATACTAGTTCTTTCTGAAAATTATAAATTGAATACTTTGAGTTGAATACACTTTTAGAACTATTCATAAGTCGTGCAAAGAGAACATATGGGAAACATAAACAAAGAAAGAAGCATTGAAATTTTGCAATCAGAGATTTTATGCAAAATCATTTTTAATAATAATATCAACTATTGAAAACAAAGGAAGATATAATAACAGTGCAAGTAACTTGCAACGACACTTCTCCACATAAAAAAGGGACTTAGAAGCAAAAGATTTGAAGCAGTCATCTGCAAACTGGACAGAGTCAAAATTTGATACCTGCATCAAGAAAAACACACCCATCGCAGCCATATGCTCTCCAGACTGAACATGCTGAAAACCCACAAATCGAATCTGCATTGCGAGCAACATCCCTAACACATACATGCAATTATATGCTACATACAACCTCATTGAATATCTCCCAGTAATCAACAGAACCATCACATACAGCGGGATCAAATTAATTATAAAAACATAGCCACCCCATGCAGAAACCATGTAGAAGTACCCAAAAGCTGAGGCCAAAGCCCAAGCGAGGGAACCCGTATTCACTGCCTTAACAAACAGATAGAATGTAAGCAGTAGAGCAAAAATTGCAACCCCCTCATTATCATACGACCCTGCCACAGACCTCGAGATGTAACCGGGACAAATGGCAATCAACACTGCAGCGACAAGCCCGGCGCCTGAATCCCAAAGCTCTTTCCCAAAGAAGTATGCAACTAGAGTGGTGTTGGACGCAAAGAATGGGGCAGTCAATACACAGACCTCACGAATGTGGACTGCAAACCTGATAAATTGGTAAGCAACCCATTCAATGGTCAGAATAAACAACATACGCATGCGACACTAAATGCAAACTAGCTAGAAGAAGTTTTGAATGTTTCTGTTAAGGATTTAGAACCACAAAATTCAATAAAGAGAGCCCTTTTCAGAAACATTCAAATACCCAAAAAAATAAAAATTGATATTTTATCTTGCCACGGAACCGTCCTCATGACGCTTATGACACTCCTCTTTAGTAGCATTTCTCTTTATTGATTTCAACAACAAAGATTCAAAGTTTCACATAATTTCGCTCAAATCACTTTCTCACATAATTACTTCTTATCTAAGAATCATTTGGATCCAAAACTTCAAATTTAAGCTACTCCTTCACCAAAAAATACTCCCATCTAAATGCAAATTGACAATTTTTTACTTATACTTCATTTGTTAATGTAAATAGCGGTTCTTTGTTAATCTCATAATCATTTATAAATTTTACAGGTAAGGCAAATTAGGTNTTTTTTACTTATACTTCATTTGTTAATGTAAATAGCGGTTCTTTGTTAATCTCATAATCATTTATAAATTTTACAGGTAAGGCAATCCATCAAAGTTCAAATGCATGAGACTGCCAAAAATTTTTCCAAAATAATTGTTATGTGGGTATATACACATATGTCTGTCTTTTTGAATCTAAGCAATTAAGAGGCCATGGACTGGGGTGGGAAAAGTGATCAAATGTGTAAAACTAATCAAGTAATTATTCAGAATTAAAGCAAAAACTTAACAAATGCTAAGAAGAAACAATAAAGCTCGGCAAATAACAGAGAAAAATCCATAATTTGACCTTCTTCAATGTATGAAAAATGAATGTACCTGAGGAATCGCAAAGCCCAATAAATCAGAGCAGCAGTGACCATGAGACCGGGGTAGAGAGTCCCACCAATGATCCGACCCAATGGGTACCAAGACTCGGAATCAAACCAGTTCCAGAACTCGTAAAAACCCTTCTGAGTCAAGAACAGAGTGGTACGGTAATTGAAGTAGGGATCGAACTCGTGGATCATGCTCTCGTAACGTAGCACACTGAAAAGCCTAGTGATAAAAGCCAAAATATAGACCAAGAAGAGGATCGTGACCCGGATCAACAGCTCCTGTTGCTTCGTTTTCAGCTTGAATGTTTTGAGGGAGAAGAAATTGGTTGATGATGGTACATCCTCCTTCTTCTCCATTTTCACCCCCATATTTGATGCGACCNCAAAACTTCTCTCCCGAATAGAAATGTGATATTTGAAAGGGAAGACAAATGAGCACAAAATCCACACCTCGTACTAACTATAATAGCAAATACAATGACTTTTGTTTATCTGTACGTGAAAATAGCATAAAACGCAAGTAGACAACAGGTTCCACACAGTTCTAGAAGAACTAGAGAAGAAAATCTAACCTCATTTCTATGGATTGTAGCAAACTAAACTCAAATTTCTAACCTTTTTGTGCTTCACATTTTTTAGGACTCTTAAACAAACAGCTTTTTATTATTATGAATATCTTGGTAAAAAAGGACGGTGGTTGCTTCTGAGAGTGGTGTTAATATTACCTTTTTTTATCATGGGTTACATATGAAGTTTGGCTGTTTGAAAGAATCTTTTCAACATATCTTACTTGTACATTCTAATGTCTAGCATACTTGTCAAACACCAAGTTGGAGTCTCCATATTGTTGTAAGATGGATGAAGCAATAAGACAAGTAAGCCAACCAACACACACTAAAGCCTCTACTAACTGAATCTCATTGGTCTACTACAATTGAAGGATACATAACTATAAGTATAAAGTAGTAGATACTAGCTCTTTCTTTTTGAGCAACTAGATACTAGTTCTTTCTGAAAATTATAAATTGAATACTTTGAGTTGAATACACTTTTAGAACTATTCATAAGTCGTGCAAAGAGAACATATGGGAAACATAAACAAAGAAAGAAGCATTGAAATTTTGCAATCAGAGATTTTATGCAAAATCATTTTTAATAATAATATCAACTATTGAAAACAAAGGAAGATATAATAACAGTGCAAGTAACTTGCAACGACACTTCTCCACATAAAAAAGGGACTTAGAAGCAAAAGATTTGAAGCAGTCATCTGCAAACTGGACAGAGTCAAAATTTGATACCTGCATCAAGAAAAACACACCCATCGCAGCCATATGCTCTCCAGACTGAACATGCTGAAAACCCACAAATCGAATCTGCATTGCGAGCAACATCCCTAACACATACATGCAATTATATGCTACATACAACCTCATTGAATATCTCCCAGTAATCAACAGAACCATCACATACAGCGGGATCAAATTAATTATAAAAACATAGCCACCCCATGCAGAAACCATGTAGAAGTACCCAAAAGCTGAGGCCAAAGCCCAAGCGAGGGAACCCGTATTCACTGCCTTAACAAACAGATAGAATGTAAGCAGTAGAGCAAAAATTGCAACCCCCTCATTATCATACGACCCTGCCACAGACCTCGAGATGTAACCGGGACAAATGGCAATCAACACTGCAGCGACAAGCCCGGCGCCTGAATCCCAAAGCTCTTTCCCAAAGAAGTATGCAACTAGAGTGGTGTTGGACGCAAAGAATGGGGCAGTCAATACACAGACCTCACGAATGTGGACTGCAAACCTGATAAATTGGTAAGCAACCCATTCAATGGTCAGAATAAACAACATACGCATGCGACACTAAATGCAAACTAGCTAGAAGAAGTTTTGAATGTTTCTGTTAAGGATTTAGAACCACAAAATTCAATAAAGAGAGCCCTTTTCAGAAACATTCAAATACCCAAAAAAATAAAAATTGATATTTTATCTTGCCACGGAACCGTCCTCATGACGCTTATGACACTCCTCTTTAGTAGCATTTCTCTTTATTGATTTCAACAACAAAGATTCAAAGTTTCACATAATTTCGCTCAAATCACTTTCTCACATAATTACTTCTTATCTAAGAATCATTTGGATCCAAAACTTCAAATTTAAGCTACTCCTTCACCAAAAAATACTCCCATCTAAATGCAAATTGACAATTTTTTACTTATACTTCATTTGTTAATGTAAATAGCGGTTCTTTGTTAATCTCATAATCATTTATAAATTTTACAGGTAAGGCAATCCATCAAAGTTCAAATGCATGAGACTGCCAAAAATTTTTCCAAAATAATTGTTATGTGGGTATATACACATATGTCTGTCTTTTTGAATCTAAGCAATTAAGAGGCCATGGAATGGGGTGGGAAAAGTGATCAAATGTGTAAAACTAATCAAGTAATTATTCAGAATTAAAGCAAAAACTTAACAAATGCTAAGAAGAAACAATAAAGCTCGGCAAATAACAGAGAAAAATCCATAATTTGACCTTCTTCAATGTATGAAAAATGAATGTACCTGAGGAATCGCAAAGCCCAATAAATCAGAGCAGCAGTGACCATGAGACCGGGGTAGAGAGTCCCACCAATGATCCGACCCAATGGGTACCAAGACTCGGAATCAAACCAGTTCCAGAACTCGTAAAAACCCTTCTGAGTCAAGAACAGAGTGGTACGGTAATTGAAGTAGGGATCGAACTCGTGGATCATGCTCTCGTAACGTAGCACACTGAAAAGCCTAGTGATAAAAGCCAAAATATAGACCAAGAAGAGGATCGTGACCCGGATCAACAGCTCCTGTTGCTTCGTTTTCAGCTTGAATGTTTTGAGGGAGAAGAAATTGGTTGATGATGGTACATCCTCCTTCTTCTCCATTTTCACCCCCATATTTGATGCGACCAACTGATCTGAAGAAGTGTTTTGTATGTGTGTCTGTGAGAGAGAGAGAGAGAGAAAAAGGTGAGGTTTTGGGAATTATAAGATCATTTGTGGATTTTTTTTCATGGTGAAAAACTGTGGCTTGTCTCGTCTGTGTTCGGTTATGGGAAAAACCCTAGCACACTGTGTTTAGACCGGTTTTGAATCTGATCTGTTTGTCTGTGTGTGTGTGTGTGTGTGTGTGTGTGTGTGTGTGTGAATATTTTAGAATCGTTGAAAGAGAAGGGGATGACGAGTCGTAGGAGGAATCAGCACAAGGCTGAGTGAAACACTAAGGGCTGTTTGGTAAGGGGTAAGGGGTAAGGGGTAAGGGGTACGGGGGTTCAGCAAGTCGGGGTTTGGGAAAATGAGTCCAAATAATCCCTAAATCTCGAATTTAGATTGAAAGTTTGGTGTCGGGTTTTCATATCCGGCTCGTAGTTGGTTCGGATATGAAACTCATGATGAGGGTTGGAGGCAAAAATTTTATTCTTCGACACTTTAATTATGTACTATAAATTTTTTTCTTCTAACANGCTCGTAGTTGGTTCGTATATGAAACTCATGACGAGGGTTGGAGGCAAAAATTTTATTCAGGATTGACACTTTAATTATGTATTATAAATTTTTTCCTTCTAATAAATTACACTATATAACATATTTATATTTATTATATTATATTTGATATATAAAGTTTATTTAACATAAAAAATTTCAAATATATATATATATTATCAGTGATAGNTATTTATATTTATTATATTATATTTGATATATAAAGTTCATTTAACATAAAAAATTTCAAATATATATATATATTATCAGTGATGGAGCCATGAATATCTATAATAGTGGTAAAATATAACTGGTATAAAAAAATATTAAGCCGAAATTAATACAAAAAAATTCAGTTCAAAAATAAAAAAAAAAATTAAGAATCAACATTAAATTATTGTGAAATAATAAATTCAATTTTTATTTAGCCGAAACAAAATTTTAACAAAAAGAAATAAAATAATTTTTTTAGTACATTTTAACCTAATTATATATTTCAATAAAATATAAAAAATTTTGTATATGAATTAAATGTAAATTAATTTTCGTATTTTATTAGGTTATAGACTACAATTACTAAAAAAATAGAAAATGAAAACTACAAATTATTCTTAAAAAGTAATGANTAGCCGAAACAAAATTTTAACAAAAAGAAATAAAATAATTTTTTTAGTACATTTTAACCTAATTATATATTTCAATAAAATATAAAAAATTTTGTATATGAATTAAATGTAAATTAATTTTCGTATTTTATTAGGTTATAGACTACAATTACTAAAAAAATAGAAAATGAAAACTACAAATTATTCTTAAAAAGTAACGAACATTGTGGTAGATAAAGAAAAATATTGTATTTTTGTCAATATACAAATAAAACATTGACTCAATCCAAAACTAACATATTTATTTTAGAGGATTAGTGGTCCACTAATTTATTAAAAAAAAGACTAAAACCATTATTAAAATTTCTAAAAATTTAGAGGGTAAATATAATGTATAAAATAATTTTATAGGTTGGTGCAAGGAAGGGCAAAAAAACTCAAGAAATTGAGTTTCTCGTATGTTGAGTTTTTCTCTGTTTCTTCTCTTTTTCTTGTGGCTGGACAGTTGAGAGTGAGTGATACAGAGAGAAAAAAAAAAAGATAAGATAGGTTTTAGTCAAGTGGGCCAAAAGTTTTATTTTTTAACGAAGATGGACCAAAAGTTTTGTTTTTAATATTTGGCCAAAAATTTTATTTTTAATGATGGGCTAAAAGTTTTATTTTTTTAATAGATTTGAGTGGATTATGATAAGTTAAATATTTGATTTTTTAATAAGTTTAGATAGATAATAGTGAGTTCAATTTTTTAATTATTTTGGGTAAATAATGTAGGTCNGTAGATAAAGAAAAATATTGTATTTTTGTCAATATACAAATAAAACATTGACTCAATCCAAAACTAACATATTTATTTTAGAGGATTAGTGGTCCACTAATTTATTAAAAAAAAAAGACTAAAACCATTATTAAAATTTTTCAAAATTTAGAGGGTAAATATAATGTATAAAATAATTTTATAGGTTGGTGCAAGGAAGGACAAAAAAACTCAAGAAACTGAGTTTCTCGTATGTCGAGTTTTTCTCTGTTTCTTCTCTTTTTCTTGTGGCTGGGCAGTTGAGAGTGAGTGATACAGAGAGAAAAAAAAAAGACAAGATAGGTTTTAGTCAAGTGGGCCAAAAGTTTTGTTTTTAATATTTGGCCAAAAATTTTATTTTTAATGATGGGCTAAAAGTTTTATTTTTTTAATAGGTTTGAGTGGATTATGATAAGTTAAATATTTGATTTTTTAATAAGTTTAGATAGATAATAGTGAGTTCAATTTTTTAATTATTTTGGGTAAATAATGTAGGTCTAATATAAATGAGGGGCACACATAATATATATGTATAAATATATAATACATATATCTAACTAATAAAAAAAAAATTGAGGGGGACACGTGCCCACCCTGGCCCCAACCTCTCTCCGCCTATGTTCATGATCTTGCCTTTTGTCAAACTTAGAAAAATAGNGGGTAAATATAATGTATAAAATAATTTTATAGGTTGGTGCAAGGAAGGACAAAAAAACTCAAGAAACTGAGTTTCTCGTATGTCGAGTTTTTCTCTGTTTCTTCTCTTTTTCTTGTGGCTGGGCAGTTGAGAGTGAGTGATACAGAGAGAAAAAAAAAAGACAAGATAGGTTTTAGTCAAGTGGGCCAAAAGTTTTGTTTTTAATATTTGGCCAAAAATTTTATTTTTAATGATGGGCTAAAAGTTTTATTTTTTTAATAGGTTTGAGTGGATTATGATAAGTTAAATATTTGATTTTTTAATAAGTTTAGATAGATAATAGTGAGTTCAATTTTTTAATTATTTTGGGTAAATAATGTAGGTCTAATATAAATGAGGGGCACACATAATATATATGTATAAATATATAATACATATATCTAACTAATAAAAAAAAAATTGAGGGGGACACGTGCCCACCCTGGCCCCAACCTCCCTCCACCTATGTTCATGATCTTGCGTTTTGTCAAACTTAGAAAAATGGTGGGTTTAGAAAGATGTTAAAAATAATTGTACCCCTTAACATATATATGAATTTGATTGATCAAAGGTAAAATAATTATGTATAAGATAAATAGTTATTAATAATTATGATATATCTGTGGGTCTTACATGTGTATGTGTTATATACTAAATATGGATATGAACCGAATTGAATATTANGTGGGTTTAGAAAGATGTTAAAAATAATTGTACCCCTTAACATATATATGAATTTGATTGATCAAAGGTAAAATAATTATGTATAAGATAAATAGTTATTAATAATTATGATATATTTGTGGGTCTTACATGTGTATGTGTTATATATTAAATATGGATATGAACCGAATTGAATATTAAATCTTATCTCTTGTAAAGAAGGGTTTGAGTTTCTAAAGGTTTGGAGAAATTAATCTAAACCCCTTCCCAAAATTCATCCAAATAAGTCCTAAAGGGTTGTTTGGTAAAGAGGTATGAGAGCTTGGCAAGATGGATTTGAGAAAAGTAGTCCAAATGATCTATAAACCTTATGTTTAGATTGAAAATTCAATATTAGGTTCTCAAAACCGGTCTGTAGTTAGCCCGTATATTAAACTCATGGTCTTGGATTTCGTCAAACCTAAGGGGTGGGTTTGGAAAGGTGAATTAAGGGATTAAAAATACAAAAGACAATTGTATTCGTTAACACGAGTATGAATTGGATTGATTAAAGGTAAAATAGTTTTTTATAGAATAAATAGTTATTAATAATTATGATATATTCGTGGGTCTTACATGTGTATGTGTNTAAAAATACAAAAGACAATTGTATTCGTTAACACGAGTATGAATTGGATTGATTAAGGGTAAAATAGTTTTTTATAGAATAAATAGTTATTAATAATTATGATATATTCGTGGGTCTTACATGTGTATGTGTTGAATACCAAACATAGGTACAGACCAAATTGCATGTTAAATCTCATCTTTATACATAGGAGTTTAAGTTTAAAAGTGTTTGAAAAAACCAATTTAAACCCTCTCAAAAAATTCATTCAAACTAGCCCTAAAAAGAAGGGACACATGAGAAGGGGTTTGGAGTATAAAATGGAGAGTGGATGGGCTGTAAGATCAACATGTCAAGGAGGGAATAGGCCAATTTTGGGCGAGGTTAGTTATGGGTCGATATGAAATTATGGATCTAGCTAATTTTCAAAAAAGAGAGGTTATTTGAACTCTAAAAGTTGACATTATTTGTTAACTATATTAATTATTGTTATTAATTTAATTATCGATTATNAAATGCTAATGAAAGAGAGAACTGCAAAGAGAAATTTAGCAGAAGGAGATAGGTTGAATTAACAACACCCAGAGTATCGGTAGCAATTCCCTAAATTAAGAAATTGAAGGAAGCATGCAAATTATTTAACATTTGAGAAGGATTTGATTTCACAACAAAAAAAGTAACAAAAGGACTGCAACTTCGGCAGGTTTAACAGTTGAACCAGAGTTTGCAATGAGGTTTTTCACATCAGGATTAGACTTCATTCAAAGACAAACAAAAATTATGGTTGGATTGGGATTCAGGCAAGTCCTTCGGCTGACCAAGCACAAGCACAGTTTGACATTATTCATATCACTTATAATACTTCTAAATATAGATAATGACCTAGTCGGTCTAACATGGACTCTCCTGCATACTTTGAGTACCTGTAACACAAACACATGGGTATCCGAGTCGAAGATGTATTCAACAACTCTAGCACCAAGCATGTCTGATTACTCTTCTATTGTGTTCACTTAGTCACATGGCAACTTCCAAAGATTGAAGTTTCGAAAACTCTGAGCTACATTAGAACACCATTTTACCCAACAAAAGAGAATAATTATACTAAAGAATACTTAAAAATTTAGCCATGTCCTCGTGTTCTCGAACTAAGAACATAGATGAATCTGAAGCTTGGACACATGACTTGACCAATGACCAAGTTCAAGTACTCAAACGCAAGTTAAATGCTGCAAAGCTATGCTTACATACATCTATTTCATATGTCAAGGGTAATGCACAAGCATTTAAAAACTGAGAGAAACTAGTTTTCACACACTTTGTATTTTGTTGAAAAACAAACAAGATAATTGCCTCCACATGTTCCATAAAATACAGTGCCA